TTTATATTTTTGCAGACGAAATGTTGGATCTTGTCATGGGGTCTTCAGCTCCACTGGTTCCATCTCGGCAGGACGATTTTTCCACCCTTGTTAACATTTCAAATTTTGACGAGTATTTGGAAAAGGCTTTTGAATCTGACCTTATTAAAAAACAGCATAGTGTACTGGCGGAAAAATTTAAGCAATATGAGAATTAATAAGAATGTCTACATCTTAGACGATTGCACGAGGAAAATCCAAACCTTGCAACGTTGGAAAATCACGTGAAAATAAATTAAAAAATCGATTTGGTAATTTGGCCGCCTACGATGAGACAAGAGTGAAACTTTATTTCCAAGCAGGGATTGACCAAAATGACTACATCAATGCTAATTTTATTGAGGTGAGAATTTTTTGCATACACACTATGCAATGATTGGTAACGCCGGGAACTGGCCCAGAAGAATAGCAGAGGCAAAATTTAAATTTCATTTGTTTGTGCTTCCATAATATTATTTTTCTTCTATTCAAAGTTCTTAAATATGCCAGAAATATTAAATCTAAGAAAATTAATTTTATATTTTAACATGGGATCAATTTGACAAGCCAACAGGAATTTTATGAATGTAATATATCATTTTTATATTAATATTTCTTTTTGAATTTACTAAAATAAAGGGTTACAAGAAGGCCAAAGCATACATCGCCACGCAAGGTCCAAAGGGAAACACGCTGATCGATTTCTGGCGAATGGTGTGGCAAGAAAAAGTGTCCTTGATCGTGATGCTCACTGACTTAATTGAGAATGGACAAGTATAAATTGAGATCCATCAAAACATAAATAACAAATTTAAAAAATTATAAAATTCAAGACAAAGTGCGAAAAGTACTGGCCTGAAGAGCAACAATCTTTCCACGCCGAGGGTCTCCTGGTTCAATCCGTGAAAGACGAAAATTTCCCCGATTACATAATGCGTACTTTGCGACTCAAGAACGCAGATCAAAATCGAGCAGTAAAATTTAAATAATAAATAGTATTTCCTTTGATAATCAACCTAAAAAATTTCAGGTCCTGCAAATGCACTACACGCAATGGCCTGACCACGGAGTACCAATGTATGCTCAGTCTCTTGCTAGTTTCTTCGAAAGAATCTCAGATATCAATTCAGATGCACCGATTTTAGTTCACTGCAGGTTAAAAAACAACGAGTTGCTAAGTTTAAAAACAATTAAATTTTTCATTCTTGCAGTGCTGGTGTTGGCCAGACCGGGACTTTTATTCTAATTGACATTTGTTTGAAAATGGCAAGAGCGGAAGGGTCCTTTGATGCATTTGAGACTCTGAGCAAAATTCGTTCCCAGAGGGCAATCATGGTCGACAAAGAGGCAATTTCATATTCTTAAATTAAAAACATAACTTTGAATCATCTTTGAACAGGACCAATTTCGCTTTGCCTACTTGGTTCTATATGAAATCCTTAGTGTGCCAAAATATGATGTGTCGTGCAAGGAATTTGCAAAGGAGATGAAAAATTTAATGGTACATAAAAAACTAATATATCAAAGATCAAAGCTTCTTTGTATTTGATTAGGAATATGTAATTTGATAAAACAAAAGTTAATTTGGTTATTCTATCATAAAAAATCTTAGAAACAGTTTATTTTACAATTTTTAAAATAAGAGAAAAATTCTCAATAATTGACGCTGATCAATTGTATGAATTTTTTTATAATTTCATATAGTTGAACAATAAGAGTTGGCTCAATTTACGTTGGCTGGAGCTTAACAAACTTTGCGAGAGTGAGTGGAAGCGAATTCAAGCAGGAGATTCAGCACGAGCTGAGGGTTGCAGATTTCAACTAAGCATCGATGGCAAGTTAATTCACAAATGAATATATTAAATTATTAAATCATTTTCACCCTTGTTTGCAGCATCGGATTTATATGCAGAAATTGGTCCAACTAATCCTTTGGCTGAATATTCAAGTTTCATCAATGCCGTATTGGTTGACGGTTTCAAAAAGAAGGAAAAGTTTATTTGCACAAAAACGCCTTTAGAAAATACGATTGGGGATTTTTGGCGAATGGTAGATCAGTATAAAGTGGAACACGTGATAATTTTGAATGATTTGGACCAAAAAGAGGTGAGTTACGTTATTTGAATTAAATTTAGAAAATTAACTTTTTCTTTATGTATTGTAGAAATCTTTCCTACCGTTGGTCGAAGGCCAGAAACTCGTTGTGGGCGACATGTTTTTGACCCTGATAAAAACTTATCAGTTGAAAAGCTGCTCAATCTTGGACATCGAGCACTCAAGGGTTCATAATATATAGATTTTCTTTTCAAAATTCAATCTATTTGAATTGCATATAAAAATAGGGATTCGTGAAAGTGGTTTGCTTCTCTGGCTGGCCGTCGGAAAAATCAACAGTTCCAGAAATCGAGTCGTTGGTGGAATTGTGGGATCAAACAGAAATCGCAAGTTTGGAGAAGACGAGTGTTTTGGTTTGCAAGTAAGTTTTTTTTTCTTTACTTTGGAAACACGATTTGATCAAAAATATTCATAATTTCAGCGACGGAATTACGGCTTGTGGATTTTTCGCAGCGCTGGGTTTTGTAATTCAGAAAATCAAACTGGAGCAAAAAGTTGACGTGGCCATGGCTGTCAGGTGCATTCGAAGTGCCAGACCTCAATTCGTAGCAGGAATTGTATAACTGAATTTACAATTTAAACTTTTTTTTTTAAATTTTTGCAATTCTTTCAGGACCAATTTGAGATGCTCTACAAAGGTGCCTTCAAATATTTAGAAAAGTTTAACACTTACGGAAATTTCAAGTAATTTTTATTTAGTTGATAGTCGACATATTTTGAAATATTCTATAGTTTAGAGACGCAGAGAGCATGAGGAGACTTTTTTTAAAATTTTTATAGACAACAAGGTAAATCTAGAAGCATGACCTGGCCCAGGCTATAATCTAACTAAATTACTTCAGTGCAATTTGAATTCTGCGATAATAGATAGCCACAGACAATTTACGTTTTTGTAAATATTTTTTAAAATAGGTGCATACATTTAATGTATTGGTGCGCTTTTTTTAAGCTTTTTAAATTTGAATTGTAAAATAATTAATTTACAATAATCTTAAGGCCGATTCGGCGGGAAATAATATTTTCAGAGATTCAAAAGCCAAAGCCCAGGTTAATTTAGTTTGGATTTCGTGGAGTTTTTTTTTTGTAAATTTTGCTTCAATTAAATATCTGACGCATGACAAAAACAATTAAGGAGAACATTTCTAGTAATTTTCAATGTGAAAATTTCGGAAAATTTTGAATCTTTCCTAAAGATACTCGAGACACATTATATACAAATATTTTTCTTTCTTTTATAATTCAAATTATAGGATTCATAGGAATATAAATATAGGCTTAGTGTGCTATTTTTTTTTATTATATGTACATTATTATATGAAGATCAAGTGGTCATATTGTTATAGTAAATTTTGTAAAAACCAAGCTATGTGGATTTGGTGTTTAAAATAAATAATTTATATTAAGTGTGTTGCTTTCAAAAAATTATAAAATATAAATTATTATTATTGTACCTTTCAAAAACCCATAAGACTACTCTGTAGGGGACAGGTGTTTAAATGGCAAATACGATACGATAACAGGGAACTGCATCGATTCTTGTAAGCATTCGGGGTTTCAATTTCCCTCGTGTGAAAAAGGTACGGAAAATAGTTACATTTAAGAAATTCAAATAAGAAATATTTTTAGAATGTGAGGGAAGAAAATACGGAATAAACTGCAGGGAGCAACTAAGAGACAAGAAGTGCTCAGGTGCAGGGAATTACGGCGATTACTACAAGGCAAACGGAGAATGTGTGCAATCGTGTGCAAGGCCTGGCCTCAAATTTCCACATTGCGAAAATGGTTTGATTTTTAATTTGTTTAAATCCCATCTGACTGTTTTGTTTCATATTGTTAGAGTGTGATGGAGGAAAATTTGGACTCAATTGCAACGAAATTATTAAGTCCGGGGCTTGCGAAGGAAAAACGGAATTTGGAGAATATGATAAAGTGAATGGAAGTTGCAGTTTGGGTTGTAAGGAGATCGGCATTCAACCGCCAAAGTGTATCAAGGGTATATTCATTCACATAATAATAAAGCAATAACCAATTAGTTCATTTTCTATAATTTTCAAAAATTTAGAATGTGATGAGAAGGAAGATTTGGAATGAACTGCAAAGAAAAATTAGACCCTTCTGTTTGCGTGGGAGACTCATATAATCGCACCACAGGTTTTTGCTTAAAAGGGTGATCTCGTGAGGATTTGATACCTCCGAGTTGCATGGAAGGTTATTCAATTTATTTTTATTTATGTATTATTATAATCCTCAATACTATTATTTTATTTTATTCTAAAATTGTTTTCTAATGATTCTGCAGAGTGAAATTTATTTCATTTATTTTCAGAGGAAACAAATTATTTACTTGTTGGAGCAATCGTAGCTGTTTTTATTTTGCTGGTTCTAATATTGGCTTGTATTATGGTAATCGTGAAACGAAGAGTTACCTGCTGGCTGATAAACATGAATCGTTTAATGGAATCAAAAGAAGGTACTTGAATTTTCTATACAATGCGAGTCAATACTAAAGTAATAATTGTATTACCTGGAGGCAATTAAAGAATTGTACCTGTTAAAAATTATTTTTTTCAAAAAATAAATAATGGCGCTTTATTAATAGTATCGATCACTATCTCCGACTCTTTTACATGAGTTTTTTTTTTTTAAATCTACAGAACTAAACGATTTTTCAAAATCCGTTTTATCTACTTATTAACGTCTCTTCAAATTTCTCACTTCATTAGGATGGGTTCTTTTTTTCAGAAGTTCTGGTGAATATTCCTTTAGGGCCCCTTTTACCTGATGCTTCATCAATTCCATCTGACCAGGGAGAAAATTCCAACGAATCCACCATCATCAACGTCGCTAGTTTTGACGAATATTTGGAAATGGCAATCAAATTTGACTTGTTTAAAAAACAGCACGTTGTAATTTTGAGATTGAATTCTAAAATTTTGCGATTTAATTTTACGTTGATTCTAGAAATTTCCTCGTGGACAAACAAAATCATGGGACGTAGGAATATTAAGTGAAAATAAATCGAAAAATCGATATGGAAATCTGGCCGCCTACGATGAGACGAGAGTAAAGCTGAATTTTCAAACAGGATTGGGACAGAGTGATTACATCAACGCAAATTATGTTGACGTAAGACTGACACCAGTTTATCTACATTATTTTTATTCAGAAAGTATTTCTAAGTTTCAAAATTTTATTTGTATGTAAATATTATTGGGTGAAATTCATAAAAATGTGGTGTATTGGTCATTTACTATTTTAAAATTCTTCTGGCCAGAAAATTTAATATTTTTGCTATTTAGCAATTTAGATTAGTGATTATTGGTTAAAAAATCCTTTGTTAAGGAGGAAATTTATAAAAGTGATTAATACAATTTTATGAAGAGAATTAGACAAAAACTTTAAAATTCTCGCACAGAAAAGTATATTTTGAAGTATTATATTACATATTTAAACGAAAGGGCTACAAAATGAAAAAAACATACATTGCGACGCAAGGACCGAAGTCGAACACCCTGGTCGATTTTTGGCGAATGATATGGCAGGAACAGGTTTCCTTGATTGTGATGGTCACAAACTTAATTGAGAATGGAAAAGTATGAATTGAGATCCAACAAAAACATTAAAACTAATTTTAAAAAATTTCAAAATTCAAGACAAAGTGCGAAAAGTACTGGCCTGAGGAAAGACAGTCTGTGTGCGTCAAGGGCCTTCAGATTCAGAGCGTTAAGGAAGAAATTTACCCCGATTACACACAGCGCACCATGCGACTCATGAATGGAGACCAAAATCGTTTGGTTTGTGCTCTTATGAATTTAAAATTGAAGGTGCCACGAATCAAAAATTGCAGGTTGTGCAAATGCACTACACACAATGGCCTGACCACGGAGTGCCTTTCTACGCAAAGTCTCTTGCTTGCTTCATGGAAAAAATTCTGGAAATCAAATCCGATAGTCCAGTTGTGGTTCATTGCAGGTTCATAATTTTCCATAATTTTTAATTGCAATATTATCCTAACCAAATTACAGTGCCGGAGTTGGTCGGACGGGAACCGTCATTCTGATTGATGCCTGTCTTCGAATGGCGCGAGCAGAAGGTTTTTTTAACGCTTTTGATATGTTGGGCAAAATTCGCGCACAAAGGGCAAATTTGGTTGACAACGAGGTAATGAAAACAAGTAAATTTTTAATAGCATTTTGAATAAAAATTAATTCAATAGATGCAATATCGCTTCGCTCATTTAGTTCTGTATGAGGTCCTTTGCGTGCCAAATTATGATGTGCCTTGCGGCAGATTTACGGATGAGATAAAAAATATATTGGTGAGTTTCTGAATTAAGCGAGTTTGAATGTTTTGTTAAGTAAAAATAAAAATAAATGACAGATGACAGATTATATTTATGTACATAAATAATCAAATGAAGATATTTAATAATTGTAAGGAAATTTGATCATCTTTTATATTTAAAATAGTTTCACATTTACTTAAAATAAGCAATTTATTTTTTAATTTATGTTTTATGTATTAATTATTTTTATACAATTCAATTTATTAATTGCAAATCAGGCAAATGGCAAGAATTTACTGAATCAGCACTGGCTGGGAATTAACAGAATTTGCACAATGGATTGGCAACATCTTCAGGCGCAAAGCGTAGTTTTGCCAGAGAGGTTTGGACTCCACGACTATCCTGCTGGCAAGTCGAGTTTAAAAATCAACTCACAAAATAATTGGACCGAGTATTTATCTCATACTTTTTTGCAGCGTCTGACAAGTATTTGAAACTTTTCCCAAGTCAGCCTACGGAACGGAATCTGAGATTGATCAACGCCGTTTTTGTTGATGGTTTCAAAAAGAAAAACAAGTTCATCTGCACTCACACACCAACGCAAAGCACAGTATAAAAATAAGTAAACATGTCTCACTAACAGTTTCAGTCACAGTCTGCAGCCTTGTTTCACGAGAAAGATTAATGACTCCTTTTTGGCTCATTTAATTCAAGTCTGTCATACAATTAAAGATAAAATTTTAAATTTATCTGATAATAAGATTGTATTTTTGTACGGAATTTATTTATGTATGCCTGTAAAGAGTTTAAAAGAGTTTTCATTATTTTCATGCTCACTTCTTTGTTGAAATTGCTGATTTTAGTTTTTCTTGCACATGAAATAGGGTCACAAAATGTAATAAAAATTGTAAATTTTTTTTTTTTTAAATTAACAATGTTTCAACATAATAAATAATAATAAATCTGATTTTAGTAGTTGTAATTTTTTTCTAATATAAATAATATTGTATTTTAATTTTTATTTTTTTTTACCTTTTATTATTTCCTATGAAAAAAACATTTTACCATATTAATTTTTTTTGTATAATAAATTTTGTTAAATATACTATGTTATTTAGTATATAAAGAGCTTTTGGTTCAATCAATTCTTAAGGAGTTTAAGAACATTAAATTAGGTTTAACCCTTTTGGTGTTTTATTTTATTTAGTCATAATTATTCTAATTCATAATCAACATAGACCTAAATACTCGTTATATCTAAGATTAATTATAACGCAGGATTAATTAACGTTTGCATTCTTGCAAAATTAAATAGCCTGTTTTTATTAAACTTCAGATTTTTAATATGATTAAGTATTTAGTCCCATTTTTCAATTAAAAATAAACTCTCTTACAGATTTAGAGCATGTGAATCTGTGTTGAATAAATATAAATAATTAGAGTTCAATTTTGAAACCGGTGAAAAGAATTCATCCTCCTGAATTTGTGAATTTGCAGAGTTTTTGTCATGAGTTAAGTAAATTTTGAGAGAGTGAAACATGGTGTGGCAGTTGCTGGTATTTGAGCGGCTCGATCGCGAATCAATCATGTCGTGTGCGTTTGGTCGAAGCAGGTTTCGCGTCATGATAAATTTGTAATGTGCAGCTGTTATGTTATCAAAGAGAGATTTTTGATTCCACGCCTGGGCCATATATTAACCTGTCACCATAAATTAGAGCGATACGTCATCAGAAATGGTTTCGCCGGCGCAATATTTTGTGTTGCGCGAACACACAGGGGTGCGAAAACTATAAAGTATGTGGCAGCCACTCGTAAATAACGCAAGGGTGGGTGCTGCCGAGAGAGAATTCCGAACACACAAACGCATTTGTACTATTACATCTCTCTCTCTCCTCCTGCCTGATATCTCGCCGGCCGCGATGACAGCCAGCGCGAAAAAAAACGACAATTGAAACATATTGACAAGCGCGAGGCGAAAAAACGAGCGCACTTCATCATGTTTTGTGAGAGAGTGTATCGCGGTGATAAATCTATCACGCGTCCGATTCGCCGCTTTATGAAATGTGAAATGAAAGCAATAAAAAGAAAGCTTTCATTTTTTGTTCCGAAGATGAAAAGTAAAGCTTATTGATTCTGAGGCCGTTGTTTGCAGCTCAAAGTATGCAAATTGTATAAAAGCCAGTTAATACAAAGATTGTTAAAATTATATAATATTAGTGTTTGATATTTAATTTCAGTTATTTTTGTAGGCGAGTTTTCTATATGAAACAATAAAAACGAAGAGATCCATCGAGAAAATGCCAAATGTAAATTCAAAAATCATGATTTAATTTATATATTTTGACGACTCTCATTAAAAATCCCCATAACCCTAAATTGTGAAATTCATCAATGGAAATGATTTCTTATACTTGACATTTTTTTTTGATAGTCTATCAAAAACAATGTGAATTTTAATCATCTTTGATTTTAAAAATAAATTTTGGTTATTCAATAATGGATTGAACCGTGTGTCAATATTTTTTCAATACCAATAATTATACAAATCAATTTAATTTAAATCAAAATATAGATTTAGATTATTATTGTTCTTGTTGTTTATTTGGCCAAATTGTTGCATCATATTGCTTATATGCAATTGTTGAAAATAATTTATTAAAAAAAGGAATTGTTGGACAAAACGGCACCACCGCTACCAAGAATTTTATTTGATTTTTTAATAAGTTAAAAAGATCATATAATAAGTGAATTCCATAAAATAATTTCTGAATACAAAAATAAATCTGTTAATCTAGGTAAGACAAATTGATATAATTAAAATAACCCCCATAAAGTTTTCTGTTTCCTAACAATTCTATCGTGCAAAAACTAGAAATTAAATTTGATATTAAGCAAAATAACTTTTTTATATGAAAGGTGGCCATGACATTGAAAAGGAAAATTGCTTGGGTGCAGATGTAATCTTGATTGTGCGCGAACAAAAGTGCAAAAATAGCTGCAGGGGGCGCTGTTAAAGCATTGATGCAATATTTAAGTCGGCAGGCAAGAAGTCCGTCAGATTCTTAACTCGGGGCGTCCATAAAACCGAGCACTTTATTGCACTGTTACATACGCGCAGTGCACGCGATGGCGTTAAATGCTCATCATTTACTCAGAGCGCGGTTTCAGCAGCTTAAGTGCTGTTTCCATAGAAATAATTAAACACGCAGACAGCGCGCGAGATGATAATTATACCCAACCAACACCATTACCAACCATAATAAACCGCGCAGAGCGAAATGCGCCTCTTTCTCTTTCTGCAGCCAAATGTAAATTAGTCGCGGCGGCCAGAAGAATATTTATGTTAATGACGTATCGTAAATTATGCTAAACGTTTTCAATAAATTCTCAAAGCTCTCGCGGCTTATTTAATTAAAACCGTTTGCTTGTTTTGCAACGCAATTACGGAAATTAGCCTTCTTGGCGTCCGACAGGTGCAGTCTCCGCGTTTTGCGCAACAAAGCCGGAAGTGGAATGTACAGAGCCATTCAATAACACGACGTTTTGCGATACCTTTTGCTAATTAATTGAAAGCACAAACACGGTTACAATGAATAGAACATGGTCTAATAAAATTAAAATAGAATTTTATTCGATTATTCTACTCCATTTATGAAATATTATCGGAAACAACAGCAGTTCGGTTATCACAATTCTATTGCTTCTTAAACTATTTTCCGCAAAGGTGAATTGTTTTTATTTTTTATGCATCAGACGAACTCCAGGTGATCTTTATTGAGCTTGCTAAATCTATTTTATACAAAAGTATTTTAAATTATTTAGAATTATATTATATTTAACAATTTTGTCAAACATTTTTTAATGTTTCAATCATTGATTATATTAAAAATATTAAAGTAATACATAATTTAAAATTAATATAACTTTTTAAAAAAACAAGCTCACTCAATTCAAACTTCTAAAAATTGTTTACAAAATAATTGAAGCAGTGATATTTTAATAAAATTTTTTTAAATAAAGCAATGGAGTTGAAAATGAAGGAAATTTAAAATTAACAATTCTATAATGTCCGTTTTTTAATTATCACTTTTATTATATATAATGATAATAATCAACAAAACAAAAATATTTATGACAACAATAATTTAATATCGTACTGAAATATTAATTGCACTTTAAAAAAAATGAATGGTGCATTGGGCACTTTTAAAAATGAAAAAAAAAATTTTTGCTGCTGTCATGAAGGGAAAATTATATTCATTATCTGGCAAATTTTGGTTGTCACAAAACGCTACTGCTCGTCAACAGATTGAAACAAGTAAATGAGCGTTATTGACTTACTTTTGTCTACTTTAAATTAAATTTTATTACTGTTGTTCAGTTATCCAATTGTTGCATTCCTTTGTTGACAATCAATTTTCGAACAAAAATTTGCTTGAGAAAGTGATACTGTTGGACAAAACGTAACCACCATTATCAAGAATTTTGCTAAACCTTCAGTGATTAAAAAGCCACAGTGATCCTATTTTTTTTATGCGATATAAAAATTGCTCCAATGAAATCACTTTTTAAAGTATACCTGGTCGTGTGCACCTGTCCATAATTGTGCTAAATATAAACAAGGCTTCCAATAAAACGAGTGTTGACACTTTTCTTATTCCAACTCTCTGCAGTCAAGTCTCACAAGTGCAAATAACAACTCCTTATGTATTTTCAGCAAAAGGTCAGGGACCCTTTTTGTGTTTGACTCACGCAGCCAGCAGGTACACGGCTTTAACATTGGCCACTTTCAGTATAATTACTTCATTTATTTCGAACCGCGCTGATATTTATTGCACACCTCGGGTCATGCGACGCATAAATTATATTATTTTATTATAGTACGGCAGGTCCTCTCTCGCTCTCTCTCCCGTCTCGATTTATGTACATTCGCGCTTGGTTAACAAGCGGAGGAAAGGCTGATTGCAACAAAGGCACTTTTATATATCTGCAGCTGACCACCTTTTAAGAAAAGGAAATTTATATGTATATCTTCCCAGAGGCAATAAAAGCCTCGCCGAGAGAGATTGACTCGGGCATTTAATTATACAAACTTTTAGTATCATTTTATTACGCTGCATTTTTATTGTTTCAATAAATTTACAATTATAAGGCCCAGTAAAGATTCTTGAATTTAAAATTACCGACCAATTTCATGACTAGAAGTGAAATTCTTACCTCTAAGCTGTGAAACAAGGGTTCATTTAAAGTTTTTAATTTGAAGAAAAGTGGCACTTCGAAAGGTGTAAATTGATTTTTATGTTGGTTTTAAGTGATTTAGCAAGATTAAACAAACAAAAATTAATGAAAAATGGGAATCCTCGAAGTTTCATTCTTTAGAAGTAAATTTTAGTCAATTTATTTAAATATTCAGTCGTGTTTTTTTAATTCAAGAATAAAACTCATGTAAGAAGAGGGCTGCATGCATTCTCGATCGTGCGTCTGTATATTTGGAAAATTGAAAATTCTGTTTAATGGAACATTTGAGTTGCTCTCTCGACCTGTTGGCGTGCGTGTTTCTCTGCCGTGTGTATATTTATTGACATCTTCATTTGGGCTGCTAATGAACCAATAAGT